CTTTATAAGAGCTGTCACAGTCATGGTGTTTCTTCACAGGCTCTGAAGGTCTCTTCTGGCCTCCAAGGATAGCCCCACACACATACACATAAATAAAAATAAAGTAAATCAGCCAGATGTGGTGGTATATGCCTTTAATTCCAGCATTCATGAAGCAGAGACAGGCAGATTTCAGCGAGTTCAAAGTCAGCATGGTATGCCAAGTGAGTTCCAGGACAGCCAGAGCTACACAGAGAAAGCCTGTCTAGGAAAAAAAAGTAAATAAATAAAGTAAATCCTTTAAAAATAAATAAAAGATCTCATTGGCATTACCACTTGGAATTACATCTTTTGAGTGAATATGTGTGTTGTACGCCTGTGTGTACAGTAATATGTGGTTATGTGTATCCATGTGTACAGATGTGGAAGGCAGAGGTTGACACCAAGTATCTTCTTCAACTACTCTCAACCTTATTTTTTTTCAGACAGGGTCTCTCACTGAACCTGTGTTATGATGTCTTTGCACTGAAGCCACCGCTGGCCACCCAAGTTCTACCTGCCTCGTTAGGGGTTAGGGCCCAAGTAACACACAGAGACTTATATTAGTTTACAATGCTGCTGGCCAATTGACTAGGATTTCTTACTTGCTAGTTCAGTTTTAAGTACTAACCATAAAGACTTATCTTATCAGACACCAGCTGCAGGTGTCTTCTCTTGCCGGGATCACATGTTGGCTCCACAGAGAGCAGGAGGAAGAGAGGAGCAAGAGTCTGATTTTCTTGTCCCTGCTTATATATGAGTCTGCCTGCTGTGTCACTTCCTGCCTGGATCACAACACTTCTTTACTACATTTCCCAGAATCCTTCTTGACTCCTAGTCTCGCCTAACTTGCTTCTTCATTGGCCAACGGTACTTTATTCAACAACCAATAAGATAAACATACACAGAAGGACGTCCCCCATCAAACCTGGATCTTGCCATTTATACCAGCTGGCCAGGGAACCCCATGGATCCTCCTGTCATTCTTCAGACCCACCCTGACTTCCAGCCCTGGGATTACAGAGATGTGACTACACATTTAGCTTTGTTCTGTTTTGTTTTGGTAGAACTGTTGTTGTTGTTGTTGTTGTTGTTTTGGTGTGTGTGTGTGTGTGTGTGTGTGGGGGTGGGTGCCAGGGATCCTAACTCAGGTGTTCAAGTTTGCACAACAAACATTTTACCCACTGAGCCATCTCCCAGGTCCCATGATTGCATCTTATAAACTATGTCAACGTAAACAGGACATTTGATTACTTTAACTGAAGCAAGAGCCAGAAGAAGAGACAGTAGTTCCCTGACCCTGGGGAAGTGCTTTGATAAGATATGAAGAGGCTAGATGGCTTAGGGATTGGGGGAAGGTGGATTTCTCAGCACTTAGTGCACTGAGAAACAATACCATGGCAGCCAGCCCACCTTACCTTCTACTGAGTCATTCCTTCCTATCGATTCACTTTCTTCCATTCTTGATGGGTACTGTAAAGTCCAAGAACATCAAATACCTCCTGGGCTCTCAAGTGTGCATGCAATCAACAAACACCTTTGATGAGTCTAAATGAAGTTTTTGAGACTGAGCCTACCTTTTTGCCAATGGCACGGCCAACTGTGCCTCTGTTACAGTTTTCATCTCAATCCTTAAATTCTGCCTTCTGCACATGCATTAAAAGATGAGTCCAGCCCAATTCATTCTACCTCTCAGCAACCCCCACCCACATACACATATATCCAGAGTACCTGGCACTAAGAAAATAATCAATATCCACATGCTCTTTTGTCCAACAAAGACCACCTAGGTCAAATACCTAGTGTCTAGCCTGGAGCTGGGGTTGGAAGCCTTGTGCTTGATTCCTGGACAGATTTTAAAACTAACCATTCTTTTTTGTTGTTGTTTGGTTGGTTGGTTTGGGTTGGGTTTTATTTTTGTTGTTGTTGTTAGTTTGTTTTGTATTTTGAGACAGGATTTCTCTGTGCAACTGTGTCCTGATACTTGATCTGTAGACTAGGTTGTCTTCCAACTCAGAGATCCAATTTAGAGATACCCCTGCCTCTGCCTCCTGAGTGTTGGGATTAAAGGCATGAGCCACCACCACCTTCCAGAAGTCTGCCACCTGGCTAAAACTGACTATTCCTACTCTAGAGTTATAGCCCAGTGGTTGAGCACCTGCTTAGAATCCCCCAGTGAGGGTCTAGGGTATGACTTAGCAGTAGAGAATTTATCTAGCATGAGCAAAGCCCAGGTTCCATTCCTGGCACTATTAGAAAAAAAAATACAAGACTGACCATTCTCAAAGGATTTTCAGGAGGCAGGAAGATCATAACTAGGAAGTTATTTCCATAAAGTTGAGTTAAATATGTCCTGATAATCTGTGTAAAGATTTGCATACAATTAAGAACCTGGGTCTCTGATCAAATTCCAACCTTGGCAATCTAACTGGGCCATCTGAGATCCTCGATGGCTTTATGATGGCTTGTTAATCTGTCTTCTCTGGCTCGGGACTGGTTCTGCCAAGCTGTGGGGTGTTAGAGGTTAAGCTTCTGCTCTCTCTCCAGCTCCTCGGATGACTGCCTGGCAGCAGAGGGTGAAATGACCTCATTCATCAGAAGGAAGGCACAGTAAGACATTCTGAGACAAAAGGTGATCTGCCAAGGTAAGACAAGGATTTTTAAGTTCAAATAAAAGCCAGAAGACACGCTTGATGAACCCTAATATGTAATGGTGGTAATTATAGGGTCCTGCTTACCACCCCACATAAGGCAAGTGAAACCCAACTGGCACATTTTCTGAGCCAACTCCTGCAGATCCTTTAAAGAAATGGGGAGCTTCTCCCATTGCCTACAACCTACTGCTGATGTGTTATTTCTTCCAACAAGCAACACACACCATCATTTGGTTCCCAAGCCAGATATGTTTTATAGCTTGCAAAACGTGATAAGACTGCCCCAGAGTCCAAGTGCTTGTATCTGTTCTAAGTCCAGAGCATCTCATACTTTCCATGTTTCCATCTGGGCCACACAGTGCTTTCTTTGTGTGTATTTCCTAGTGAACTTTATCCCAGAGCAGTTTAGAAGCTTCAGATCCTAAGAGCTCATAAACAAAGCAATTGTACCTGGACAGCTTTTAAACCTAAGATCTCAGTTGCTCTTGTTGAGTACAAGTCTCAAATGCTAGGCAGTGTTTCCTGCTAGGAGAAGGCTCTTGTGGGCATCTGGAGTCTGGGTCGCCTCAGCCCTAGATGTGTAACTCCAGCACATGTCCAGAGTTGGACAGGGTGTGACTAGATAAAGGAAGAACAGAAAGCACCAGGAGGAACTAGGGAGGTGGCTCAGTTGTTAAGAGCACCAGCTGCCCTTCCAGAAGACCTAGGTTGGTTCCCAGCATTCACACGATGCTCACCACTATCTGTAACCCCATTCTCAGGGGATCCAAAACCTTCTTCTAACCTCCAAGGGCACCAGGCATATACATGGTGCATAGACATACACAGAGGCAAAGTACCCATGTACATAAAATAAAAAATAATTAATTAAAAAGGAGTGCTAGGAGTCACACACCTCCATAGCCTCTGCAAGATGAAAGGAGAGCAGACATCCTCAACACCTCAGCTGATCATGACTAAAAAGTGCTGCAACAGAAGCCTGAAATGGGTCGGTTTGTAAAGTGCTGTGGTGCAAGCATAGGAACCCAAGTTCGATCCTCAGAACCCGTGTGAAAAAAGCTACATATGGTAGATTGTAATTCCAGTGGGAAACAGATTAATCCCTGGGGTCTTATGGAGACTCGATGGCCATCAGTCTAGCTAACTCAGCTGTCTTTAAAAAGAAAGAAAGAAAGAAATAAAAAAGAAAGAAAGAAAGAAAGAGGATATCGATTGAGGAATGACGCCTAAGGTTAACTTCTTGCACCACACACACACACACACACACACACACACACACACACACACACGAAACGTTTTTTTAACAATCTTGTGATTTACACAGCTGTAATGCATGGGATTTTAATTTATTCTCAGTGTTCTGTTATTCCAGGGATCAGATCTTGGCGTTAATTACGTTTTTGACACACCCGAAGCGTCCAAAATTACAGGTGGCAACCTTTTTTCTCCATCCATGAGAACTTGTGTCCTAGGGACCCTGGAGGTTACCAGAGACAGTCAATCAGGGTAATCAATACGTGTATGTGGAACACTCTCTTCTCACAGTCCCTCAAAGGCAGAGAGCTCAGGATTCGCTTACGAAGGGCGTGGGCGTCGAGCTTCCAGGGTCTGCACCTTGTGGCAGACAAAAGACCAGAGAGACCTGGATGTCCTAGGTTCAGGTTCTGCTCCAAAAAGTACTGCAAGGGTGAGGGTAGGGGCGTGGCTGGAATTCTGGGAGGGCCGGGAGAGGGCACAGCAAGGCCACCCCGCCAGCCTCAGGAGAGGTGGCCTGGTCCCGCGGCTCCAAGAGCCTACCAGGACCCCTTTTTCCTTGCCTGCCTCAGCTGGGGCCCCTCAACCCACTCCATCCTCGCTTCAGCACCGCCCATCAGTCTGCGAGAACGAGCACACGGGCTCAACTCTGCCCCGCCACTCTTGCGGCCTCAGCTCGGGCTGCTACTGCCAACCCGGCCCATCTTGTTTCGACCACGCCCACCAGTCATCTAGGCCACGCCCATCAGGCTATTTCAGGCCGGGGGGTGGGGGGGCGTCCCCTCCAGCTGGCCTCTCAGCCCCACCCCCCTCCACCGCCTCAGCTGGGGCCAATCAGCCCTGCACCCTGGCTGGACTTCAGCTCCGCTCAGCGAGCTTCTGGGCCACGCCCACCTAGCTCAACAAGTCTCTTCCCTATCCCCGCGGTTGACTGAAGAGAGGCCGCCCCGCCCACTCTGGCTTACTCGGCCTAGGCCCCGCCCACCTCAGGTGGGGCTGCCCCGCCCTCTGGCCTCCCAGCCCCTCCCACTCCTCCCGCCTCAGGTGGGGCTGCCCGTCCCTTCGCTAGTTCCAGCCGCGTCAGGCTACGTTTACCTCCGAGCTCCTCGCAGCTCGAAGCGCCGCAAAGTTTTGACGTTTTGGCGGCGGAGACGCGCGCTGGCTCTCTCTGGCTGAGGGCAGGGGCGG